GCCACGAAATACAACAACCATTTGTAAACCTTTAGGTTTCGTATCGTATCACTTACTGGCTGTAATAAACACTACGAAAGCAGTCACAACGCACCAATAACCAATCAAACGTACCGCGGACAACGCGCCGTCTCGTTTTCGCTGCTGCGAATCTTATATTGCGAGAAAGAGACAGGACTATTGACGTTCCGTTTCACGTATCCGCGGTGTAGGGCTAGTGACAGACTTGCAACGATCGATTACGGAAAATAGTAGTCTTTAGAAGATTACTATTTTCTTTATTCTTATAAATGTAAAACGTGCAATCACCTTTCTTAGCCATAACCCATATTTTTTACTACAATATTAAATACAAAGAAAGTTAAGTTTAATTATTGTATTTTTACTTTTTTACTAGCCACTCAGTATTTATGGTCAAATATTTCATTTTTCTATTGCTTTCTACTAATATATAAAAAAAAATCAGCACAATCAAGTAATAAAGGTAAAACCGTTCCGTTACAACGACTTCAAACTTTGCATATCTAAAATTCACAAGATCATTTTTAATCACTGTAATAAATTAAAAAATAACTACACAGCACGTTTGGTATATATGATATTTCTATATACAAAATCATGGTAGAAAAATTAAATAAAAAAAAAGAGTTATACAGGAGTCGAATCAGTAGTGTATGAAAATTTACTAGATATTTGAAGATATGAAAATGAATGTACTAGAAATATTTTCCTACATAAGCACATAGTTCTTAGTATAGAAATTGAAAATAAGTATTTTAATACGGAAATACTTGTCTATTGATAAAAAGAGATAAAAGAAAGAGAAAACACTACTAACTCACACAGCAATTATATCACTCGAAGTCCTGTTTGTGCAAATTAAATAAGCAAATGTAACAAACCGTACGTTTTATCACTAGAGGGAGTTTTAGTCGCTTTGTATCGCGTGTCAAATAATTTCGTTTACAACGTAATTATTCCGTTGTGTTTAATGTTTTTTTTTATACAACTTAGAATGGCAAACAAGCTGACGGCCCACCTGATGGAAAGTGGTAACCGTCGCCTACAGACATGAGCAGTACCATGCACATAACAGAGTATACTGTTTCGCCCATGATTCCCCCCATGCGTTGCCATTCCTGTTACAGTAATTGTATGTAAATGTAAATACAGCGAACGCTTTATATAAGCAACCTCTCTTAAAGCAACATTCTTTATATTTTATTTATTCTCCTCAGCTTAATTAGTAAAATAAACAAGTAAAAATATTTTCCAGACGATAAGTATTTTTATACTCCTTTTTCCCTATAAATAACTTTCCCAAAAAAAAAAAACCTTTTTATTGAGATTGTTTCAAATGAGTTACTTATTATAGAGCGTTCATTGTATTTATTTATTTATTATAGGATTCCATAATGGGGTTGCTGATTTATTGGAACAGGTCTGATTATGAACCCTGTTGGGCACAGCGAGTAGGAGAGAGCACTACCTTTTTTACTTCATAAGAAAAGTTAATAAGTTCAAAAGAATATTATAAAACATATAAAATTCTTTCACAATACATACATATTTCTTTGCATTTATTATTATTTATAAATAACATATATCCCTTTCAGACCCAAGATTTTATTTCTTTCAGATTAAATATATTTCCGTGTTTTGGTGCCAAGCCATCTTGTCGGCACGCACGAGACTACTGCACCACCTAACCGCTAAAACGATTTCTTATTGGCTGGTTTAGAATCTCACTATCGTGTTATTTCAGCTTCGTGCGTATAAATGATTTGCGGTTTGAGAATTGTTTAAAGTTACAACTCACGCCCGTATCGTTCAGGTCTGAAAGGGATATATAATATGCATATATTTTGTATATGTGTAGGAATTATGGTATTTATTACTAAAATCTGAATTTATATAATATAAACATACATATTACATTGTCACTGCACTGGGTTGACTGGAAGAGATCTATTTTAGAAATAAGCCTACCCTTGCTAACAAGTTGTTAAACTAATCGCTGCATACGTTTTTTTTCAACTACAATAAAGAATATTTATTTATATATTAAAATCATAGGAAACCTTTACAAATACAATAAATAATTTTATTTGTATCTTTAAAGTTTAATTTGTTTTGTCTTTAAAAATATAATAAAATTACGTTATCAGTAGTATTGAAGATTTTTTACATAACAATTCAAAACTGATCAAATAAAAAATTAATAGGTATTTAATTAATTAAAAAACTGCTTACAAAGCGACTAAAGCATGTTACAATACATTTTATATATTTATTATGTCTACAAATATTCAGAACGAACGATGGCAAAACTTAACAATTTAAACACACAGCCTACACTTAGCCCTCATATCATAAACAGCTAGATAATAAAAAAAAAATCCGTAAAAAAGCCTGATCTGGGCATAGACAAGCGTTGACATTATCCAGTTTAGTCGAGTTTTACTCTATACTAATAAAGTGGACGTGTTTGTTTGTACGCGCTAATCTTTAGAACTACTAGTTGGATTTGAAAAAATCCTTTTGCATTTCTTGAGGTTATAGGTTATTCAACAACACAGTACAACTACAGGCAAAGCCGCAGGATTACAACTAGTATAACAATAGCTAAATACATAATTAGCCTTCAAATGTTTCATGGCACGCAAATGGCAATGTGGGCGTTCGCTTATCGCGTATTTTGTTACACTTTTGTACTGTTACAGTCAGTACTATCGAAATGTTTGTCCTTGCCACATCCTGAGCATTTGGAATAGGTATTATTTGCTTAGATTTATAATTTGAGCATAATCTATTTATTTGCGGTCAATTATTTCAAATTATAACAAAAAAAACTTGATTAAATACTTAGTTTTATCAATTAAACCATTATTTTCACTAAAGAAACAAGTAAAAAAAAAATTTTAAGTTTCCATACTGAATTGATACTAAACTGAACGCAACCTGAAAAGTAACTTTTGAAATAGTTTTATACACGTATATACATATATACATACATACATATATATATATGTGTGTATATATATATATATATATATATATATATATATATATATATATATATATATATATATATATATATATATATATATATATATATATATAAATTGTGAATATATTTGTTGTCAAGTAACTTATCGTCTCTTTAGACATGCAAAAAATACGATAAGTCCATCCTAAGGTTGGCTGGAAGAGTTCGTTCGCCATTTACGCGATAAGACCTCTCATAGTTGCCTCTTTATCTTACTGTAATTATGGTTTTTTTATGTATGTATTGTTATATAATTGTATCATTATTTGAGGGAAACAATAGTTTTCATTCATTCATTCAATCATAAATTTTACCGCCATTTATTTATTCCAAACGGATAATGTCGACGCCATACTAATTCCAGATAAAATGCACACAACATGTCTACGCATAATAATATTTTTAAGTAATAGATAATTATTTTACAACTACCATTATACGCCACTAGAATCCGCTTTTAGCTTTGCAATAAGATGCAAATAAAATTATTTTATTTGGATCATCACATTTGGTCTATTTGCTGATATACTATTTAACAATTTCGTAATTTTAGTAATTGAAAATAATGTCAGAAACGCTAAAAGAAATATTGATCGTTGATGTAGTAGTGTAGGACGACTGCCAATAGATGGAGCTACGAGCCCGAATGTTTTGTATGAAATCAATGAATAGTGGTCTATGGTCGTTTCTTATGGCAGTCTATGGGAGATGTTTATAAAAAAATTACGTGAAAAAAAATTACAATTATTTTCATTTCTTGTATTCCTATTTTCTTACTATATTTACTTATTGATGTGTATGTTACGCTATATACATTATGACAGGTACTATTGACAATATTGACGATGTGTTTAATCTAAATAGAGTATTTCATATAATTAGTGATTTGTTTGGTACACATTCCATTGCACTTTTCATTAGACATATATTTTATTAAGTAATAACTATCATGAGTCATACTGTATTGTAGTTATATATGTTGGATTTACTTACGTTTTAAATTCGGAGATGCCCGATCTAATTATTAGCACCTTGGCCAGACGCACGGTTACAGCTACAAACAGCAAGCTGGTCGTACAGTGCTGCTCGTAACAGCCGTGAACCGCGCTCATGAATGTAGACTCCTATTGAGCTCGAAACTAGTCGAGCATCTCCGATGTTAAAACACGAGTACAGTCGACATAAATAAATACAATGTATTTTTTTTTGTATATTAATTCCAACAAAGTTTCTAGTCCATACTTTATACTTTAAGGCTAGTGACACGTTGACGGAATAACCACCGCGAATCTTCCGAGGTCTTATATATATAATTGTTGTGTATTATTAAAGCGGATATATATTTTAACGTGTTATATAATACCTATTTTCACAGTACATGTTGAATTTGTGTCATGTATCTATATCATGTCAGAGAGTTTGTTTGTTTGTATGTTTGTCAACTCAACTAATCGTTATGAAATTTGGTATACACGTATTACATGAGATGGCGAAGCACAGACTTTTTATACAGGTCAGTTAATATTTTTTTATACAACATAGAATGGCAAAAAAGCTGACGGCCCACCTGATGGCAAGTGGTAACCGTCGCCTATAGACATGAGCAGTACCATGGATATAACAGAGTATACTGTTTCGCCCAAGATATCCCCCATTCGTTGCTATTCCTGAGGACTCAGGTGATATTCCTCTGTACCCAGTAAATTCACGCCATATCCCACCCTTCAAACCGAAACACAGCCATGCAAACACAACTGCTTCACGGTTGAAACACGAATGGGACAGACGTACTCAAGCAAATCGACTTTTGTACAAAGTCTCCCTCTGCGATGCGCCATGCGAATAAAGTCACGGGTAGAAGCTAATATATATATATATATATATATATATATATATATATATATATATATATATATATATATATATATATATATATATATATATATATATGTAATAAGATTTCCGCGGAAGATTCGTTTACATGACACTTGCCTAATTCTTTCAATAAAAATCTCGTATCTCATGCAATCATATTTACATATAATAAATTTATCTACTCTTTAAATAGGACCAAAATAGTATGTTATGTTTCTGTCAAAATTGCATCACCCAAAAGTTATATGACTTACAACTACTATGTTTTTATTACCAAGAAATAAAGTCGAAATTCGTATAACACATTTAGTTTTAAAGAGATTTCTCTCGTCAGAATTGCCAAGAAAGAGAGACAAAGAAATTTTATAAATTAATTACAATATTTTACAACATTGCGACTACGACGGAGACAGAATGTACAGTCATATGCAATAATATGAAAACACTAATATTTTATCAGTGGTATGGGGTTAAGTCAATATGTGACAATCGGCTTTACAGTGTTATTCCCCAAAGTTAACTTTACAGTTAAAATAATTTAACGAAATTATTGTATAACGGACCACAGCTATGATTCAATGCTATTACAAAACAAGTTTATTTTGCTCTGGAGATAAACACGATTGCCTTGCCAAATTCCAAATTATTTTCAAAAATTTTATAATAAATGTCAATCGGGTTGATGTAAGGATTCTATCTATATTCCACTGTAAAATGGTTTATTAAAACATGAACCCTGAAAACATTACACTTCTTTTTTGGACAGTCGTGTATTTAGTTTATACTGGCCCTTAGGAGCTCAACTCAGACTTGATTTTTTTTTTTTTTATACATCTTAGAATGGCAAACAAGCTGACGTCCCACCTGATGGAAAGTGGTAACCGTCGCCTATAAACATGAGCAGTATCATGGACAGAACAGTGTATACTGTTACGCCCATGATACCCCCCATGCTTGAGAATATACCCGAGACCTTTGTGACACAAAGTGGTCCTAAAGTTTTTATTCTTTTTAATCCATTACATATTGTTATATATGACTGTACAATGTCTTTATAGCACATGTATATGTAATCAATATATATATCATGTAATCTAAAGTAAAAAAACAACTCTATTTTCAATACATTAAAACATAGTTTCAATTAGCGTCAAAAATATACAATCTCGCTCAATAAACATAAATCGGTAACAAATATAGACAAAGCTAGTAACAAATTCATAAGCAGTTCCTACAAATCTAATTTATATGTACAAGTTAGGCATGAGTAACACCGGTATCACTCCGATATCTATATATTGGTATCTATATATTGGATGCCGGCAGATATTGATTTCACATATCACCTATATCAGTGGGATTTCCATCCATCTTTATTAATTTCAATATTATATATTGGTAGATAAGAAAGAAAGAAAAAAAAGCAAGCACTAGTGTATCTTGGCTATGTGCCACGTCCTTTTGGACATAACACTGATTGAATAACCGTTATTTAATATATCCGTTATTGACCAATATATAGATACTGTGACTCCAATATACAGCTATATATTACACATCCCTAGTACAATTTGTTTGACAAATTGCTGCAAAACTCGCTTGCGTGAATCGAATAATTTTTTTTATCTACAATATTTTCCCAATTAGCTTCGTACTAACACGAACGTCAATTAAGTTATCCCGAAGTCTTAAATATAAATATGTCTATAGCGAAATGGATAAAACATTTATGTATAATATAGATTGTGAGAAATTACACCATTCGATTTGTAGCTTATGGACATATCTTTAAACATATATGATTTTCATTAACCATCATAGTGTTCCATATGTGAAGGGTTGTTACTAATGGGGACTTGCGGCCCCATCGTTAGCAATATACTCACAATCTACATATGTTTAGTCCTTACGCATGAAAACCCGCGATATGTTACTAGGGGACATACGGGACCCAAAACCACATCTAAATAGGAATGAGCGATATTCATTAACGTGACAATAGGACAGTGTTTTTCAAAGTGTGAGTCGCGATCCTTTGGGGGTCTCCGAACCTCTACAAGGACGTCCCGGAAGGTCGCGAAGCAGTGAAAAATCAACAGTTCTGTAAATACATCAATTAATCAATAATACATAATGAAGTATCAATAACAGACATCGATTACATGTCTGTTTTAGATACTTTATTATGTATTATATATTTTATTTTATCGATATCTAACTGTGAATATAAATAGATACAACTGTACGGATTTCATAATAAAATTCATACACATTCCAAAACCGTGGAGGGTAGGGGGTCGCAAGATTTTTTTACATAATAAGGGGGTCGCGTCGTGAAAAAGATTGAAAAACACTGCTTTAGGAAAATTTATTTATTTATTTATTATATTTACCAACTAAGAGAGCTCGACAGTTTCTCAATTCGCTCCCTTGGAAAATATCGACATATCGATACCACAAGGAGATAATAAGTAATAAGTAGTGACCCTTATATTTTTTTTGGCATAAGTTACATGGGCATACCTTAGTGTTAAAATTAATATCGATATTGTAAATATATATATTCTGTACACGTATATCGACTTATCAATAACGATATTTCGACAATACCGCTCATCCCTACATCTACAACACTGCACTGACAAATAGCCACACAAGTACATCATACATTTTGCCTATAACCAACTAATAAAGCTAATTATAATGCAACAAAGAATTGAATCGTTAGACACGATTGTGAAACTCAGTCCTCGCTAGAAAAGAACAAACAAATTTGTCGATAGACACATTTTCGCTACCGCATGTATGAGACAGAAGGAGACACGATGTTTAGCACCATGTTCTTTCTCGTACGAGCAGTAAATAAGATATCTATCAATAAATTCATTTACTATTAACCTAAGAGAACTGGTAATGACGTGATAAAAAGACATTTTTTCTTTAGAATCTGTAATCGTTAAAATGTCGTTAGAAAAATATACTACTGGAGTTTGTTGTCTTTTTATAATTCTGTGAATATGTAACTAACTTTTTTATTTGTGATAAGCAATCACAATTGGATCGATTCTGACATACTTCTCTCCATATTTGTGTCTAAACTCTATTATTTAAAAAAAAAAACAAATTAATTTGTGATGCTAAGAAATAAGTATAGCCAATCAACCCTAATATTGTCTTACCGTTAGTTACTATAAGATCGTATTAAATGATTTTTGTTAAATTAAAAATTAAGTAAAGTTAGTTTTTGTCAACATAAATTACATTACATGACAAATGCTACATGTATTTACATGTCTAAAGCATGTAACAGGCATATAACATGATGAAGGCATGTAACAAGCATGTTACATGACACAGACATGTAACAGGATAATTGATGCCATTCAATGTAGGAGATAGGAACCCGAAGATTTCCATTAGCCTCCTGGAAACTGACTCCAGAATATCTAACATCATGTTGTTCATCTAACGATTGAATACTTTGTACATCACCTGTGGGCACCTAGTCGAGTTCTATCCGCATAGAGGGCGCGAGTGTGCCGCACTGTATCTTGGACTCCTTGAGTTTGTTGAGTGAGAGCCGTAGATCGCCCATGGTGATAGGACGCACCGCGTCCACGTACTCGTCATCAGAGTCCGAGTTGTTGGTCGCGTTTTTGGCTTTACTCTGGAATATTTTTTTTTTATTTTTAGTGTTTGGTTTTATTGATGGGCAAGCAATTACTTTTACAATCACGTCTGTGAGTAAGAATACAATATGCCACCGCACATTTTCAATCTCAGAATGTGATAAGAAGCTAATTGTCTTTTGAACCTTTTGAAGTACAGTTATTGTGACTACGTTGAAATCAAACAAATTGACATTATTGTTTTTTAATATTTTTCGCTATAAAGGGTACAGAGGAATATCATGGGCGAAGCAGTATACTCTGTTATGTCCATGGTACTGCTCATGTCTATAGGCGACGGTTACCACTTTCCATTAGGTGGGCCGTCAGCTTGTTTGCCATTCTAAGTCGTATAAAAAAAAATACAGTAAACTTTAGTTTCACAATTTACCTCTATTTCATAACTAGGTAGTGAATATAGTAGTAATTAAATAGACAAAAAAAAAAGAGTGAAATAACAATAAAGTTTGAGAACCACTGATATAGGTGCTTACCTGTTCCTCCCTGGCGAGGTCTTCCCTTGCAAGGTCCCGTACTCGGTAGACAGCGGCCTGTCGACACAGCTCGTGTAGGTCAGACCCTGAGAATCCTTCAGTGGCGCTCGCCAGGCGTTTGAAGTCGATCTGTTCAATCACAGAAATCATTTATTATATTTTTAATTATTAAAATAACTTTATTTACTAAAAGAAAATATGGTACAAAACGTGGACTTAATGCTAGTAGCATTCTCTATCAGTCAACCTTTGGGATGAACAGTGAATCACGAACGCGGCACTACATTATTGAAATAGGTAAAGAAAATAAGAACTAATAATATAAAATATATATATATATATATATAATATACAAAATAACCTGGCCGTGTGGTCCCGGCATAGAATAGGCTACCCCTACATTCCCCGTAGGTGTTGTAAGAGACGACTAAGGGAGGGCGAGAGATGGGCAGCAGCGTCCCTCTTAAAACATCTCTATTGCCTAACTGCGGTTGTCAACCCGCCTACCAAGCGTGGCAACAACTGACAAAATTACGAGAGAGATTTATCACAATAATGAATGAAGATGTCAGTAGGGGCCGCCCTAGTCGGACGTATGTCGACCAACTAGGCGACGTACTTTGAATCGAAGCATTTGGCGTTCCATTGTTTCTGCCTACCCCAATGTGAGACAGGCGTGACAGATATAATGTATTTTTAAAATAGACGCGTGCCACTTGGGAAGTAACTAACATAAGTATTCTTTATTTATGCAACTAGAATGGCAAACAAGCTAACAGCATTAAACATTATTTATGATATTGTTTGTTAATAATTTTTTTAGATGTATTTAAAATCTGAATGTAATAATTATATGAAATTGACTTGTATATGTAATTTTGAAGTGTTCAACATATTTCTGTATACTGTATAAACCGTAACCGACATAGCAAGAAGGATAAGCAAGTTGAAGTGGCAATGGGCTGATCACATAGCTCGAAGAATCGACAACCGATAGGAGAGAGCAAACGCAGTATAGGACGATCGTCCTAGATCTAGTAGGGGGATCCCCCTACTAGATGTAGTTACAACCTCAAACGCATTGTAGGGAATCAGTGGATGCAGGTGGCTCAGGACCGTTGCTTATGGCAGTGTATGGGAGATACCTATGTCCAGCAGTGGACGGATAATGACTGAAATGATGATGATGATGATGATGTATAGACTAAACACGTTTGAACAAAATTGTATTGTTAACATTGTTACGAGTGTACACCACTAGTTGTAGATTAGATCTGGCAACACTGAATCACCTCTATACTGTCGTCCATCATGGCGTAAGTACCACTCTCTAATAAAATAAAGGATTTATAATTATAACACTGCCCTTTCTTTAGAATAGGGCTCCTTGTCTGATGTATATGTATGTTTCACAAACAAAAATCTTTAATATTGAAAACAAATTGATTTAGTCGGTCTAAGAACGGTGTTTGGAACTCATCGGTCTAAAACTACGTACGTCTGTGGCGACAGGCTCGGAGCGCAGGATGAGCTGCAGGATGCGCTCGCGCTGGTTCTCGCTGGGCATGGGCACGTGGAACGTGGCCGGCATGCGTCGCTGGATCGCCTTGTCCAGGTCCTGGGGCCGGTTCGTCGCACCTGCATACATTTTTTAATATATATATGTATATATCAAGACCTATCAAACAGCTTAACTTTGTTGTATCAGCTTAACTTTGTTGTATATGTATATTCTGTGTGTACGGACATAGAATAGGCCACCACTTCACATTTCACATTGTGAGTGTCGTAAGAGGCGATTAGGGGAATTTATGATCGAGGGATGGGCAGTAGCATCCCTCTTAAAACATCTCTAAAAACCTAATTGTGTTTGCCAATCCGCCTGACAAGCGTGGCAAATACTGACAAAACTTCCCTAATGGTGAACGCTTATGTTCAGCAGTGGACAGTTAAGGGATGAAATAATAATAATAAAAAATATAATTAATCAAGACTCACCCATAATGATGACAGTACAGCCAGGGTCAGTGATGAGTCCGTCCCATAGCGACATGAACTGCGTCTTCATCATCGCCGTCGCTTCGTGGTCGTGCTGCGTGCGCGTACGCAGGAACGATTCGATCTCGTCTGCGCATAAAAATTAGACATATCTAAATGTTTAGTCCCCAAGATACAGGTCTGGCCTAGTTTGGGAACTGATGGTAATGCAGATATTTTCTCATTGAATATAAATTGTAAAAATTGTAAATTGTACCTAGCTAATTTCTATGTATCCTTGTTATGTGAAGTGAAATTCTGATGTAGTTTATCTGATTTTAAAGTGTCATACTAATAGATGTGTGACGAAAATCAATAATCTAAAATAAGTGGACTTAATCACATTTAATTTACTTAGATCAGTGTTTCCCAACCTTTTTTGTGCCATGCCACACTTGAATATTTCTAAAATTTTTATGCCCCCATACGTAATTTTTCTCAACAAAGTTTACTTGCCGACTCTAATAGCCCAGTTGACTTTTATATATATATATGGTTATTTGATAAGAATTATTTTGTTTAATTCCACTACCATTAGTATGTGTGCGACTGCCAACACTTGAAGATTGACCACTATTGTTACTACCAGAAAGTCTACAACCTTCCATATTAGCCCCCAATTTCCGACCATCATTCCGTCCACGCACGTTTTGCGACACATGTTACACTTCTAAACGAGGCATCTTCGGGCTAATTATTAGATTACTTTGCCTGAAGATGATATCACACACATACTAATGGTGGCGGAATTAAACAAATTAATTCTAATCAAAGAACCAGTAGACTTCCACAAGATGATGCTTATTTCAGTAATATATATATATATATATATATATATATATATATATATATATATATATCTTTGTATTACCATTGGCTGAATAGCTATTTGGTATTTACTGTTTGGCATTTTCTAGTGCTTAACATGGCATAATAATAATACTTTAGTTGCTAATTTGGATTTTGGATCAGCACTAGCTTGAACAAGGATTGTATTGGGAAAAACAAACCACTTACCAATAAATACAATGCAGGGCTGCAGTTTGACAGCGAGGCTGAATACAGCTGCTGCGAGCTTCTGAGTCTCCCCGTACCACTTGTCAGTGAGCAGTGACACGTCCAGGTTAATGAAGCTCATATGGGCCTCCTTCGCGGTAGCTTTAGCTATCAGAGTCTTGCCGCAACCTGATGAAGATAACAGTTTATCAAATACTAGTTTTATTATTATTATTTCAGTTATTAACTGTCCCCTCCGGGGGGGTTGGTAACGGCAGTTAGGCTTTTGGAGATGCTTTATGAAGGTCGCTGTTCTTCATCTCCCTACCATTAAATTCCTTTAATCGCCTCTTACGACACCCACAGGAAAGGAAGAAGTGGCCTATTCTATACCGGCACCACATGGATACTTAATTTTTTTTAGCACAGGTCATATGAACATGCGGCTCACCTGATGGTAAGTGACTACCGCCGCCCATGATCACCCACAACACCGACGGCATTGCAGGTTTGCTGCCTGCCAGCCTTTTAAAAAGGAATATGCTATTTTCTTGAAGGTTATGATGTCGTAATATATCCTTATTGATAGCATAAATGGGAAAGCGAGTTTGTTTGTTATAAACGACAAATACAAAAACACGCACATTTATGACGCTCGTATTACTAGGATTTTTTTTTGATGGGTGAAAATGGTATGGTAACCCCGCCTGCGCTAACGGGATACGCTGGCGGAGCACCAGTGAAGAGTGATAGATGAGAATGAAAACAGGCTAGTTAGCCCATCATGATGAATTCATCAGGAATTAACCATGATAGTTTCCAGGGAGAACCGCGAGGAGGTCGACCTGGTTGGGTATATTGCTAGCAATAGGATTCTCAGTCTCCATTACTAACAATCCCTTTCCCCCTGTATTACTAGGATTAGATAATAATTTTAAAAGATTGTTTCAAATAAAACCGACTTCAATTGTGAAAAAAAAAAAACAGTTATTCTGATTTGAAAACAAAACTACTGAACCGATTTTAATAACATTACTATTAGACCAATCTGTAAGTAACCTTACAAGTAAAAAAGAAATTTCCAAATCCATTTAGAACTGACCGAGTTATGAGTTAACAAACATAATTTTGAGAACATAAAATTGAGACAGAAGAGACAGAGAGAGAGAGAGAAAGAAAGAATTGAGAACCTTTTCCTTTTTGAAGTCAGTTGGAAATATTACATTATTGAAATTAAATTTCATTTAGAATTTTCTTTCAGATGTATGTGACAGTTATATGAACGACCACTCTCTGTCTACCACATCAGGGACCACAGGATACCGATACGATGTCAAATGCAACCTACCAGGTGGGCCGTGCAGTAAAACTCCTTTCGGAGGTTGCGTGAGGCGGCTGTCGGCGAAGAGATCCCGCTTCTGTATTGGCAGAATAACAGTCTCACGTAGCTCTTGAATCAGATGGTCCAGGCCAGCTATGTCTTTCCAGTTCACCTGCGGAATTTTAATTGTAATTTATTTTATTCTTTGTTTTACACTAATTTATCTATATGTATTAATCTGAGTATTTTCTATGTTAAAAATATTTGTCTATAAGTTAATCAGCTAACATTAAGTTTAAATATACTATGTATTTTGATATCTGATAAATATAATTACCTACAAAGATTTACATGCTATATAAAATGGCGAAACAATACTGAAGATTAAAAAAAAAACAATTTGTAATATCTTATTATGTAACTAAGTTTCTGGCAAATAAATTATTATTATTATCTTGCAACTAGTTAGTTACAAATTAACTTTTCTAACTAAGAAAACAAAGTTAGCTTTCCTTAGCTTAAAGACTAGAGGACGTTAAGTAACATATCCAAAAGTGTTTATAAAGGAACGCACGTAATCCGAGAAAGAAGAGGTTTCGAATCAGTTGCTCGAAAAGACTCAAGATTTATATAATATGTTATTACATTTGTTCTAAGAATTAAATATTATAATCTCACAAAATTACAGTTATTTTGGTTTAAAACTCAACTACTGAATCGAGTTTCATAAAATTTCATATGGAGCCAATCTGTAAGTATATCCTTATAGATAAAAAAAAAGAATTTTCCAAATCAGTTTAGAACTGACAGAGTTATCGAGAGATAACAAACGAAAAAAATACAATCGACTTGAGAACCTTTTTTTTTTAACTTGATTGAAAACACATACTACTTTTGAACTGTTTCCCAAAACTGTGCATTACAAATCGTAACCATGTTCATAATTATATAAGACAGTAAGAAAGTAAGAAATTTTAAGCAATTATTATCATTTCGTGTCATTTTATATTATAAAAAAGCACGTTACATTGTATTTGAGACTGATAATTAGCGAATGTTACTTTGACCTTGTATAAAAGACTTAATGGCCTATTTGTTTAAATGGACATTTCAGTGTTCATTTATGATAATATATTACCTACATGACGCAGGTCACAAAGAAATGCGGATAACTAGCAGTTTACGGAATATTGTAATCTATTATCTATTATATTATGTTTAATAATACAAGGCTTCATGAAATTATATCAATTATAATATATATATATATATATATATATATATATATATATATATATATTATTGATGATATTCTTGTACGATCAATTGACCTACTTTCATCTTTACCTAACATCCTTCACTTCCTCTCCGTCAAAATATCCAGTAAGAAACTTCACGCATGGATAGGGTATTTTATTATCTGAACTAATTTGTTTAATGATACTAAGAATAGCAAACAAACTTATCACCCACCTGATGATATGATGATGATAGAAAAGTATATTATTAGGGAGTAACATGAGATGCATTTTATTTAATTTATCTATATACTAGAGCTGCAGATCTACTCTTGCATATAATATCAATATCAGTCTAATCTATTGCCAATGATAATTTTATACTGCACTCATGAAACAACAGTTAGGAATTAGGTTATTATTGGGATCAGTTTACAGTTTGACCAGTTGTACTAATATGCATCTATCAGAACAATATTGGAACATTATGCCGATAGTGTTGCAATTCGAGAGTGCGAAACGTCTCAAGTTCAATATCAATTTATTTTAATAGTAACCCCACAAGTAGTTAATACTTACATTAATTTCATCAGGCACGACAAGCTGCGATGCGATGATCATTTCGTGGTCGCTGAGCTTGTCCAAAGACAGCGAGTGTCTCCCGCCCAGGCCGGCTCTGCAAGACACCCTTAACACATGCACACTCTATATAGTGGCTATTTAAAAAACATTATGTTCTAAATTTGTTCAAAGAATGTTGAAAAAAAAAATATTTGGAAAGAATGGTATGTTTTGAAAACACTATTGTAAGGATGCCACGATATCTAATATACTAATACAATAAATAATACTGGAGTGGGAAGACAGTGACCACACAACCATAAAATTAGAGATATTCTCTCTACTAGTATTCAAGACATCTTTTACCATCACACCACTCACCATGGCAGGCAATTCATCTTCCCACCCTAGAACTAAAATAGTCATGCACAGTGCTGTGGAATAAGCTCTCTGCCAAGGTTTTCCCTATAGACTGCAGCGTGGGGTTCTTTAAAAAAGGACGTGATGAGGTTTCTTAAGGGTGGGCAACGCACGTGTTATAGTCGTCCATAGTAACCCCGATTACCAGCAGATTGGCAGCATGCTTGTTTGCCACCTTAGTAGTACATAAATAAAAAATGGCAAACACAAATTCAAGACTGAGAGTCGAATCTATGGATACGTCTTATTTCGTCAGACAAAATATTGAATTATTATTAAAAAAAAATAGACTGCCAGTAACTATAATTAAAAAAAGATAAAAAATAATTGTTTTGTAAAAATATTTATTTCTCAGTCACGGTTGAATGGATTTAGATGAGGCAAAGGCATGTTACGGTTAGTTATTTCATTAAAATATCAATTGGTATGATTGGTCACAGTCATCACACATATTCTAGGGTTGGCACACATCTCAATCAGCTAATAACTGTTTTATCTCACATCCAAAGTCCTACCTGCACTACATAGCAAGCTGTGGTATTTACTAATACTATCATTGGGGGGGGGGGGGGGGGAAGGGATTGTTAGTAATGGAGACTGAGAATCCCATTGCTAGCAATATACCCAACCAGGTCGACCTCCTCGCGGTTCCCCCTGGAAACTATCATGGTTAATTCCTGATGAATTCATCATGATAGGCTAACTGGCCTGTTTTTATTCTCATCTGTCAACCTTCACTGGTGCTCCGCCAGCTTATCCCGTTAGCGCAGGCGGAGTTACCATATCATTTTCACCCACCAAAAAAAAAACTATCATTGGGAGAAAGATATAACAACAATATATCTCATCAGGTCAACCTCCGTGTGGTCTTTTTTTTGTTCATTTTTTGGAGTTTGTCACACTGGATTAATTGACCTGCTTTCATCTTCACCCATCATCACTCACTGGTGCCAGTGCATACCAATAGTACAAATAGGGCTACCATTCTATTTTCACCCATAAAAAATACTATGATTATAACTAAACAATGGGTCATTCTAAATGATAACAAAGAACTAATTATTATTATTAAACAAAACTTAATTGTACTTGAAAAATATCGAGGCAGATTTATGTTTGTCAAAATAATGATTTCATGGCATCCCTACACTACCATGCATAATGTTTTTAGTTAAACAGCCACAATGTAAAGTGAACAAACACAAAATAAATTGTTAAAGAAATATTAATTAAACTTACAACTGAAGCTAGCTACAAAGATGATTTTTTTTTTATATGCTAGAAATGTGGTTATAATAATGGTCTTAAATATAATAGATCTACACATTTCGCCTTATCTAAAGGCATTTCATCCCTATTAACAATATAAAGTTGAATATAATATATAATGTTGGATTTTTGTTTCTAACTATAGCTTAAAATATATATTTTTTTATTATTTAAACTCAAAAATTGATACATGATTAAAACAATATAGTCAATGAAACACTTTAATGCTATATTGCTAGTTACATCTGAACCTATCTAATCTTATTTTATTGTTGTACAAATAAAAAAAAAATACCAACAAAATGAAACACTAACTTCAATTCTGACAAAACCAATTACATAGATTTAAAAATTAAACTACTAAACTGATTTTGATAACATTATTATGGGATCAATTTGATCCTTTCAGATAAAAATAGAATTATACAAATCAATTTATAAATGACCACCTGCCCCGGCTTCCCATGGGTGCACATTACATCACATCACATTAGAAACCTCTAAAATGATCAGTGTTTCTCTACAATATTATGCATGTATTATACATACAAATCTTCCTCTTGAATCACTCTATCTATTAAAAAAATCGCTTCAAAATCCATTGCATAGTTTTAAAGATTTAAGCATATATAGGGACGGACAGACAGTGACAGAGCCTTTGTTTTATACTATGTAGTGTTGAGTTTTGAAGTTAAAAACATAAAAAAAAATATGACAGAGTTGAGAACCTCCTAATTCTTTGGTGTCAGTTGAACACTAATACTTAGTAAAACATACATGAATGTTTTTGTGTGTATTAAACACACACAGTATCAATAAATATCTCTCTGCAGTAACAGAAAAGAAAGAATAATGAAATATATGGATTTTATAATTGGTACTGAGATATTAAATGTTGTAAAATTTTAAGACAAAACTAAAATTACCTATTTTTTAAATATTACCTGATATCTTTGACAATTAGTTGTTGATTATGATATTGTCAAAAGGTAATATCAAAATCAATTACAATTAATTGAAACCACTAAATTGTTATAAATTGAAGTCAGTATTTTTTTATAATATAAATATACATTCTTTCATCATTAACTTCTGAAATTTATCATAATGGAGATGTATATTAATCTCTAGATTCCATTACTAAAAAGAATAGTCTCAATTTAACAGTATCCATTAAGAACAATTTTCTTAATAATGATGATTATTGTGATAAATTGAAAAACTTTATATATTCTTTATTGCATTTAAACAATACATGCGACGATTAGTTTAACAACTTGTTAGCAAGGGAGGAACTTTAGACTAAACTAGCATTTTGCCTGCTACTTTGTATGCACAGATTTCAGAAGTAAAAAAAACAATTGAATAGATTACTTCTGGATAGTATATCAAGATGAAATATACACCAGACTTTAGGTTAGACCTTCAGGAATGCAACTGTGAAATTCACATCCAATTAGGTTCCCATTGCTATCAATATACTCTATCAGGTCAACCTTCACGCAGTTCCCTCTGGAAACCATTGTGACTAATTTATCTTTGAGTTCGTCACAATGGGCTAACTGACCTGTCTTTTCATCCTCACTGGTGCCCCACCTGTGTATACTGATAGCGCAAGCAGGTACCATTCTTTTACCATCAATTCAAAAAAACATATAGACTAAAATAATTTATAAAAATTATTGTGTTGGCATCTGTTGGTCTTATTAATACTCTAATTTTTTTTTAAATAGCTTCTATGTACAGACATTGTCTAGTTAAAAAAATATTATATTAATAAGATATAGTAGCAAGCATTGGTCTTTGAGCCTTAGATATAAAATAACAATTTAAGGTCAAAGTTCAATGTCATTTTTATATGTGATTTTGATACCTAGAATATTTTCAGTATTCAATATTAAAAATTTAAAAATGTTAATTTAGGTAACATTACTGTTAATCAGGTAATTTTACTTACCTGATTTTTTTAACTGGTAATAATTAATTGTGAGGGTATATAGCTATAAATATAATTTTAATAGTGTATAGATTTTAAAAAGGTTTTGATGTACATAAATAAAATTAAATACTGTTTATCATTCATATTGGTTGAGAATTGTAGGTCAACTTGTAAATTAAATGTTTTAATCATCCAAAATAGTCAGATTAAGGATTTTAGGAAGGAAACTTGTTTTAGGTAGAACTGTCTATCAGGTCTAGAAGTATTTAAAAAGTTTAATATGTGCAGATAATGAAACTTAGATAAAAAGAATTATATATCAATAAGAAGGTTATTATAGAAAATAGAAAATTATGACAGACATGTACTTTGTCAGACATGTCGGTTATTATACATTCTGAATCGAAGTACTTAGTCCAATTATTACTACATACACAACCTATTGACTATATAATAAAGGTACTTATAATAATCTTAGGTTATAAATTCTACAACTCATAAGAACTGCGTAACAATTTGTAAGAATCCAGATATTTGTTGTAACTTAATGATATTTCTGATAGGTTAGAAAAATGGAAAAATGCAAAAGAATAATTTTTGTTATCATTGTCAGCAAGCATGATACTAAAATATAAACACAAACTGATTTTTTCTTTATATTAAAAAAATTGTAATGTTGTAACACGAGGTAATTCCGCGATCAATACTCACTTGCGTAACTGTTCGCGGGCTTTTTCTTCCGCCTTCTTTCGACTCTTCGATGTCGGATCTATTTGATTTACAAGCCATTTTATTGAAAAATAAGTCACGGCTGAGACAAAAGCAACACGAATTGCCATTTGGAACACATCATTACGCGTAAATGCCGAGCCCTCCATCACCATGAGGTATGAAAACTAAATAGATTAAAACGAATAAATTGGTAGACTGTTATCTGCAATAAAGTACTCTCCGATTTTTAATGACTTTATTAGATACTTCTTCAAATAGGATTCTTCTCCATCACGATTTGGTAAATTTTGAATCATAGATAGTATAGACTAATTTATTTGACTTTGACAGCTTAGTCATTTCGGATCGCAGGTGCTACTTTAATCTATGATGAAAGATTCCACCAAAGATTACACATTCTTTTTCTTGTTTTACTATCCTAGAAGCAAATCCTTTAAGACAAAGTTTAATTTATTTTAAAATAAACAAATTTTTTTTTATCAAATAGATTTGATCGTTATTCACCAAACTGTCTGTTTACGTCTTATATACGTGATTACTTTTTTGTCATTTCGATACGAAAGTTATTTATTTACACCTTGCTTTGTACTATTCTTAATCTATGGTAAGGACCTATACTGTTCATTGACATGATTGATAGATTGACAGATTTGAGTTCTATTTCTATATACAATATAACCTCAAAGTTTAGTTTATGTATTTTTAAACGTGTATTTAAAATTTAAATTATTTCTCTGTGTTTTAATTTTAATTACACATTTACTATAAAATGAAAAAAACTAACAAAGGGCCACATCCCAATTTAGGTAACTCCCGAAAAGCTATACGTAAACAAAAAAGACAAGTTAAAAAGTTACATCGTCAAGAACATTATTTAAAAAAGAAAACCTTCCAGGAAAAACCGTCTTACGAACCTGGAAAGTTCGTAAAAAGACCGGCTGATGATCAGCAATTACCTCAGGAAATCAAGGTACTACAATAAAGATTTAATAAGAATTATAAATTTTATTTCATTAACATAAACACATCTAACATTTTAGGTATTTGTTTTTTTACTCACTTCTTAAATTAAGTTTTGACCTTAGAAGTCCATATTTATTTATTTTTAGAAAAAGAAACAAAAACCTTCTATCCAAGATGTAATTACTAAAGAGATTCAAAAAGAGAAAAATGAAACTTTACGTCTCAAAGAAGAAATGGATAAACAAAGAAAGAAAATGCTTCTTCAAGCCAACGAAGAAGAAGATAAAGTCATCAAGAAATTGGAGAAGCAGTTGGGATTAAATAAATCAAAAAACAAAAATAATCGGTTTGCAGATGACGGACTTGATTGTATCCTTTAAAAAGTTTTTTATTCAAATATTTGTCAAAACTTCTCTATACCAAGGTGCCTATGGCAGTTTCGTAAGAGTTGTCAGTATGTTGTTCTTTTTTATCTATTGGATGACCTTGGTAGTGTAATGGTTTATCTTTTTACTTTTCAATAGTTATGTTTTCAATGGATATTATATTATTCATTGAAAGAACAGTAGTAGAGTTAGGTTTTGATGATAGAAAATATTCTCATGGACTATATATATGCATATCAGGAATTTTACAGACTGACTATGTTTGTCATTTCTGACAATTATTTTCCAAAGTTTTTTTTTTTGGGGGGGGGGGAGTATGAGCTTTGTGTCACAAAGTTTTGTCTCCCACTACCGGCTACAGCTTGTAGAGGCCGTGAAGCCTCCCATTGTGGAAGTTTTTTTAATAATTATTGAAAATGACAGACATAACAAGTTCATAAAGTTCCCATTATACCTGCATATAGATATAGTTAAAAAATAAACATGAGTTTTAAAATATTGTTGAAATTAAACAATAGAATTTGGACAATGACACATTTAATGTTTTAACTCACTATGATAATAATAATATATTATCAGAACTATAATTTCGAAAGGGGTAGTCAGGCATTTGCTGACTTGCTGAAATGCTTAAATAATATTTATCTGGCCACAATGTGACATAACATATTAGAAATTAACAAATAATAAAATTAAATTTACTACAAGAGTAATTTGTTTGATAATAATAAAACTTCATTCAATCAATCAGATTTATTAGAAATATGTGATAGAACAACATCAGAACAGATTGTCGCTGCTGAGAAGCATCTGGCCAATGTTGAAGATGAATCCGATTTTGATGAAGATTTAGCAGTAGTAACAGGAGGTAAACTTGAAAGAAAAAAGAAATATAAAGAAGTAGAAAAAAATAAAGAAACAGAAAAGGATAAAAAGAATGATAAAGAGAATAATGATGTTATGAGTGATTCAAATGAAGAATTTGATGATATTGATAATGGGGAGTCAAATAACAGTGATGATGACATAGATGGAGATGAATATGGCAGTGGTGATGATTTATCAGACTTAGAAGAGGATGATGAAATGTCAGAAGATGAACCAGAAGGTAAAGTACTCATGAATTCAAATATTAAATTAAAGTACAGCTTTTTTTTGCTCTATAGTGTCAATATAGTTGACGATGTATATGTTATTTTTGTGAATAAATTTTGAATTGTTATAACTGGAATGAAACCTATTAAAAAATATTTTACTTGTTTTCATATGGTTTCTTATTTTTAGGATGACATGCTTGACATTTTTGATTCTTTAATTCTATTTCTGGGTTTTATCTGCAACTATGTTCACATGAGTGAGGTTTATTAATTGCTAACTTTTACCCTCGACATTGTCCACATGATGAGAATATATTTACTGACCAAGATATAAAGTAGCCTATCCCCTTTTCCATCCCATATAGTATGTGTACACTAAATTTCATTACTTAAGCTGCAATTAACAAGGGTATATAAAGTGCTAGGCCATTGTGTAAATAAAATAAATAAAAACATTATTAATTGTGAGTATTTAAATATATTTTCAGTTAAACCAACAAAATCAATTAAGTCCAAAAAAGAATCAGTTAAATCTAGCAACAATCAGAAGGTCGTTTCAGAGGAGGATCTAAGTAAGGTGTTCAGTGAAGATGAAGTGTCACATCTATCTGGTGATGACGGCTTGGATAATTTTTCCGGTGATGATGATAATGAAAATCACAATGATAATAGTGCGAAAGAGAAGCCGGATGTTTGGGAAGACATTTATGGCAGGAAGAGGGACAAAGATGGAAATATTATAAAGGTATATCTGTGATTACTGTATATAATTTTTAATGTATACATTTTGTATTGTCTGTTTTGATTTTTTTTTATACAACTTAAAATGCCAAACAAGCTGACGGCCCACCTGATGGAAAGTGGTAACCGTCGCCTATAGACATGAGCGGTACCATGGACATAACAGAGTATACTGTTTCCCCATGATACCCCCCATGCATTGCCACTCTTGAGGACTTAGGTGTTATTCCTCTGTACCCAGTAAATTCACGCCATATCCCACCCTTCAAACCGAAACACAGCCATGCAAACACACCTGCTTCACGGTAGAAACACGAATGGGGCAGAGGTACCTAAGCAATCGACTTTTGTACAAAGTCTCCCTCTGGTAAAATGATTTAAATGATTTGATAAAACTTAATTATTATATATATAAATAAATAAGTTTTACCATAATAATAATAATAACAAAAATAGTTTCTAAATGAAATAAGTAACAAATTAAAACATATAATTAATCAATTATTGAATCATATTCCAGTTGGACATCAGCAGACAGTCTTATCATTAATTCATTTGTGTATATTTTCATTAAATTTTATATTAAAACAAAGTATATTATCTCAAATTTACACTTTTTACTTTATGAAGATATTAACATTTACATAATATTATTACATTATTACAGGAAGAAAAAGGTATTTACATACCACCTCACTTAAGAAACAAAGGTGTAGCTTCAGACAAAGATTTGGCCCTATTGAAGCGGCAAATCAAAAGTAAGCATTTAAGTTATAACAATTTCTATTAATTTATTTTGTTTTTGTTCACTGGATTATCATTTATTTTGTAATTTTCGTGAAAATATTAAATTTTTATTTGATCATTGATGTAAAATTTTTGTAAAATTAATTAAAAATTAAGCTGTAAACCACTGTTGAACATAGGTACACTGATAAGAGGGGTTTTGCCAGTATTGGCCACGGTTAAGACTTAGGTTGGCAACTGTTAGGGTTTGGTGATGTTTTAAGAGGGATGCTGCCTATCCCTCGTTCATTAAATCCCCTTAGTCACTCACGACACCCACAGGGAAGGAAGGGTGGCCCATTTTATACCGAAACCATACAGTAATATAGGGATAGACAGATAGATTTAGCCCATCGTAACGAATTTAACAATACATTAACTACAATGGTTTCCAGGGGGAAACATTGGAAGATCAACCAGGGTATATATCTAGCAATAGGTCTGTTAGACCACACTACTAACAGATAGATCGATAATTTATTTGCATTACTTATAGCACACAAATAATACAAACATACATATAATACAGATATACACAATAAAAAGAGATAAAAGAATCTATATACAAAAAAAAAGCCACAAAAAAAAACAGAAAGCAAAATCATTTTATATAAACAACAATTTCTTTCTTTCATGTGTATGCCATAGTAACACAAAATGGTCACAGTTTTTTTTTTTTTTTATACCACTGAGGTGGCAAACAAGCATACGGCCCACCTGATGGTAAGCGGTTACCGTAGCCTATGAACGCCTGCAATACCAGTTTATCATAGTGCTCTCAAAAGAGTAAAACACTAACAATCCCTTTCCCACATTGTATATACGTTATTGCAATGAAATCGTCTTTCAGGTGTGCTGAATAAACTAGCCGGTACGAATCTCCACTGGGCGTGCACCTCTATAGAAAATTTATACTCGAACAACAGCCGTAACTCTGTGAATACTGCGCTAACGGAGTTATGGATGGAGGCGACAGTGGCGCCCTCGCACACGCCCGACCGAATGGTGGCCGAGCATGCCGCCCTCGTCTCCGTACTCCACGCTAATGTCGCTACTGAGATTGGTGAGTACCGTTAAACGACCCAATCTGGAGGGAATGTTAGGTCGACATCAACGAAACTACAGCATTTTTAGCAGCTTTTCCAAGAAACTGCAGCATGGGGTTCTTCAAAAGGGGTGTGAAGATAATGTAAATGTATTTATCTGTCAGTCTGGCAATAATGCTAAAAATCTTCTAAATGGGTGGAACGATTTTTGTGCGTTTTTTTATTTGAAAAAAGGGTTTGGGCTCATTGGGCGAGTCTCAATAAGTATATGTTAGACAGACTATACTTTTTTAATACCTAATCATTTTTTTTTATATCTAATAAATTTATCTTGTTTTATTAATTAATATTTCAGGTGCCCATTTCTTGCAGGAGTTGTGTAAGAAATTCGACGCGATGATGCAAACGCCGCAGCCGGTGGAGGACAAGAGATTAGATAACTTGGTGTCTTGTTTGGGACATTTGTATTGCTTCAAGGTAGATTTTATTCATTATCATTTCGTTTCAGTCATTTATAAATAAAAATTTAGATTTTTAACCCTTCTTTGCATAAATAATGGTGGAAATTTCCATCATAACATTGAATGTCCAAAAAATTTTATAAAAGAACAAGTTCACTTTAAGTTGATCGTGTCCGGACACCTTTTTAATGCATTGCAAAGCTAAGAAGAGAGTCCATTGCTTTTCCTTTAATTTTGAACATGAATTATATCACCTTGACTTATTTCACCAATAAAAAAAGTCATACAAAGAAGTATTAAAGACTTACGTTTGTCTTTATGTTATATAGAAATAGTAAAATTATTAGACATAATTTAAGAGAGAAATTTTAATTTTAGAGCTAATTTTGAACTACATAATTTTTTTATACAACTTAGAAAGGCAAACACGCTGGCGGTCCACCTGATAGAAAGTGGTAACCGTCGCCTATATACATAAGCAGTACCATGGACATAACAGAGTATACTGTTTCGTCCATGATACCCCCCATGCGTTGCCATTCCTGAGGACTCAGGTGTTATTCCACTGTACCTAGTAAATTCACGCTATATCCCACCCTTCAAACCGAAACACAGCCATGCAAACACAACTGCTTCACGGATGAAACGCGAATGGGACAGAGGTACCCAAGCAATCGACTTTTGTACAAAGTCTCCCTCTGGTATTTAATTGTTTATCACCATCATATCAGCCGTTAAGTGTTCACTGCTGAACACAGGCTTCACCCTATCACCAGCGTATACCGATAGTGTAAATGGAATTACCATTTCATTATTATTGTTCGCGACATTATTGTACATGTGTAATTATAGCGATATTTATTTACGTATAAGTTTTTTAAAAATTTTATTTTACAATTATTCAGGTAAATCAATTTTATCCCCTTCAAAGTACTCCCCCTGTGACAATGTTTATAGTTAGTTGTTAAGTCCCTAGTTTAATCGTTTTTGTATACTGTTATTTTATATAGATTTTACATAGATTTAAGATACGGGGTTTCTATAGTGTAAGTCAGACCAGAACTGAAGCATTGTTAAATAAAGTATTCTTTGTAGCGTTGTCATTATTACTGTTATTTTATATAGATTTTACATAGATTTAAGATACCTATTTTTTTTTTTTTTTTTTTTTTTTTTTTTTTTTTTTTTTTTTTTTTTTTTTTTTTTTTTTAACGTCTGGAAAATGCTTTATGCAGACCCATACACCTTGTGGGAGGTGAATGGGTACTGTGGGAATTCCCCTGTAAGGTGGGGGTGTACCCACTAAAAACCAGACGATATACCCTCGAGGTGCCATATGTCGGAGACATGGGTTCGCTTTCGCACTCACCACATCTCAGACGGCAGCGACCCGCCCCCAGATGGTAAGAACAGGTCTCCTCTCTCAAGATAGGGTGGATGGCGTGCTCACCCTACCACTCGGAGGATGCGCCGGTATATTAGCACATCCCCCAGGACCATTGGGACAATACCTTCCCACAGGTATCACCCCGGCCCTAGTGGGGAAGGAGGAGGGGCGGAACTGGGCGCGCCCCTCCTTCTGCGTCTGACTCGTCTGCGGCGGATTGACGGTGCGAAAGTGGCACTCTCCCGCTCCCTTTCCGCCGCCTCCTTCTGCGACATGACGGCGTCGCAGAAGGCGAGCATCGCTTCCCACGATCTCTCACTGCTCACCATCCGCCGAACCACGGCGGGCAGTGAGAGATCGGTCCCCACTATCGCGGACAAGATACGACGCTCATCGGCATACGCTGGGCACTCCTCCAGCGTATGCTCCGCCGTGTCCTGGTCCGCTCCACAAGCATGGCACTCCTCCGTCGGCTCCCTGCGCGCGACATGACACAGATATCGCCCAAAGCACCCATGCCCGGACAGTATCTGTGTCATCCTGAAGGTCAGCGGCCTTCGCCGCCTATCCATCCACTTCTTAAGAAGTGGACGGATAGCCTCGACGGTCCTTCGGCCGGCCGATGGATCGGCCAGCCGCTGTTCCCACTCCCGCTGCAGGACCCGTCGAATGTGGTACTTCCGCAGCGCAACTTCCAGCCTGGAAGGCTCGGCACCCTGGCGCCTCCGCTCTGCACGCCACTCATAGACCGACGCACAGGCATTGGCCTCCAAGTCCCAGGGCGGCGAGCCCGCCATCACACACGCCGCCTCCGTGGAGATAGTGCGGTATCCGCGTATAATGCGGATTGCCATGGCCCTATGTGGCCTGTTTAAACAAGCCACATTTTGCCTGCTCAGGGCCCTATTCCATATTGGAGCCCCGTACAGGGCCATGGACCTCACCACCCCAAGATAGAGGCGACGTGCGCTCCCTCCTGGCCCTCCTATGTTTGGCAGCAGCCGGCTTAGAGCACCGGCAGCCGCCATAAGGCGGGGGGCCAACCTCTGGAAGTGCTTACGGAAGTTCCAGCGACTGTCTAAGTCAAGCCCTAAGTACCTCATATGGGGCTTGACGACCAATCTCTGGCCACTGACCATTATGTGGGCTCCCTCTGGTGGCGCTCGTCGGGGTCTGTGAAAGCATAGTACCTCCGACTTCTCCAGCGCCACATGGAGCCCAAGGCGACGCGCACGACCGACGACGAGTGCCACGTTTGCCGTGGCAAGACGGGCAGCTTCCCTGTAAGTCCTCCCCTTGGCAACAACAAGTGTGTCATCTGCATAGCAGACAACATCGCTGCCGGAAAGTAGAGCACCCCGCAAGTTCCAGTCATACCCGATGTTCCACAAGATCGGTCCTAGCACCGACCCCTGTGGGACACCACGCTGCATCTCCCTCGACGTTACCGCCCCATTCTGTCCCACGCAGTGCACTATCCTGTGCTCTAGGTAGGCCCCGATTACGTCCCGTAAGTAGGGAGGCACCTGATGATATTTTAGTGCCTCCCTAATGCACGCAAATGGCAGAGTGTTGAAGGCGTTCTTGATGTCGAGCGACACCGCCAACAGCACCTCACCGCAGGACGTCGCCTCATCCGAGAGAGCCCGAACACGAGCGACGGCATCGATGGTGCTCAGACCCGCACGAAATCCGAACTGCCTCGGACTGAGGCCGGGACCTACTTGGGACAGGTGTTGGTTGAGGCGACCAGCTATTATTCTTTCAAACAGCTTGCCGACCTCCCCCAGTAGTACTATGGGACGGAATGCCGAGGGTGCAAGGGAACCTGCGGGGTGCCCCTCCTTCCGTAAGAGGACCACTCTGCCCATCTTCCACTCGTCGGGAAATCGTCCCGTCTCCAGGCACCTGTCGAACAGGTCCCGGAGACGGTCCCCTAGGGCGCCCAGGGCCAGGACTAGAACGCGGCCGGGTATTCCATCAGGCCCCGGGGCGGTGTTTTTCGCCCGGAGCCTATCCACAGCCGCTGCAAACTCCTCCTGGGAGACTCTCGTGGCCCCTACAACTCCGGCACCACTAACCTCATGGCTCCGCGGTAACATGGGAGGGGGTGTAAACTCCGGCTGCGCTGGGAAAAGCGCAGCCAGTACCTCTTCCAGCTGTTGAGGCGGGATGCGTTCCGCTTCCGGGGGCGCCCAGGGGCGCATTTTGCCCCTTACCGTACGATACGGGCGCCCCCATGGATCCCTCTCGAGAGTTTCGAGAAGCTCCTTCCTGGCCCTCTCCTTGGCGCTGGTGATGGCTAGCCGCAGGGTTTTCGTCTTCCCCCGATAGATCCTATACAGCTCAGCTTCCTCCTCGGCGGTGCGGCCCGTCCTTCTGCGGCGATACCGCGTGTACTGACGTCGAGCGGCCCCCAATTCGTCTCTGAGGGCCGCTATCTCCTCCGACCACCAGTACACCTGTCGCCGAGTAGGAGGGGGACCGGCTCGAGGCATTGACGCATCACATATCTGCGTCAATACCTCCGTGAACTGGTGTGCCTCCCCTTCCACCTCCACAGGCCTGGGACGACTGTCTGATGCCCAGGCCTGAACTAAGGAAGCCTCCATCAAGACGTCCCTATCAAGACGCCTCAATGCCCATTTGGGGAATGTCGGGACGTGCCTACCCCCCCGGTGATCATGGGCCGGGGCCATGGACGAGGGGAGCACGTCCAACCGAATATAACGGTGGTCAGACATGGTCTCCACCTCGGCCATTACTCTCCAGCCCCGTACCCTGTGTGCGATTGTAGAACTGGCGAGCGAAATGTCAACTATCGACTCGCCATTAAATCGCACACACGTGGCAGCTGACCCGTGGTTTAGGACCACTAAGCCAGCCGCGATCGCCCAATCCTCCAGGAGCTTGCCGCGAGCAGTGGTAACCCGGTCGCCCCACGCCATTGATCTCGCATTGAGGTCACCGAGCACCATCACAGGACGGGTTGAAAATTGTCCTATAAGGGCTCCCAACCCATCTATGTACTGCCCGAACTCAGCAAAACTCCTGTTGGGAGAGAAGTACACCCCGACGACGAGGATTTCCCCCCAGCTCACACCAACGATGCCGGACGAACTGAAGAGACCCACGGCCTGCGGGGAGGTAGGTTTCCTACCAACACTTCCTACCGCAACCAGCGCATCAGTATCGCCGAACCAGTTATCCCCTAGAGGGATAAACAGAGGCTCGGCGGCCACAACCAAATCCACTCCCATTTCTGCGACGCTCTGAAAAAGAAGATTTTGAGCGTCGCGGCAGTGGTTCAGATTCGCTTGCAGGATGCGATGGTGCATTTATCGAAGTTCCATCGCCTCCTGCACACCCCTCTGGGAAGGTCCAGCGGTAGGGGTCATAGTTGGCCCTCTTTTCCACCCCTGAGGGGGGGTACAGGTTTTTGCCCCCACTCGGTGGTTGGCAGGACGACCCGCCGCCGAGCATAGCATGCACTTTGGGGCAGCACTACAGACCGCCGCCTTGTGGCCAGCCTCTCCGCAGCGGAAGCATAGTCCGCTCCGGTCTTCCGCAAGTGTGCATTTGGTACGAACGTGCCCGATGTGAAGACACCGGAAGCAGCGCAGGGGTTG